GAGAAATACTATCGAATTACTATTGTACCATGGTCAGCTGCTGCTGCACCACAGTCAGCTGTACTACTCGAAGATGTGGAGAGACTGTTGTTGGTGTGGCTTATCGAGAATACAGTGGACCCCCGCATAGCGAACGCCTTGCATAGCGAACATTCCGCATAGCGAACGCTTTGATCGCTAAAATTTTGCCCCGCATAGTAGACAAAAACCCGCTCAGCGAACTTCGTCCGAGACGCGTCCAATGTGTGGCCTCAGCCAGCCTCACATGTGCCGCCTGTCCCATTGTTTACCAGCTAGCCTCCGCGGTAACATTCAAGCATACACTCGGAATATTTCGTATTATTACAGTGTTTTCGGTTCTGTTTGTTGAAAATAAGTGACCATGGGCCCCAAGAAAGCTTCTAGTGCCAACCCTGTGGTAAAAAGGGTGAGAATTAGTATGGAAATTAAGAAAGATTTTGAAGGGTTTGGGGCTAACCCTGAGAAGCCTATGCCAGTTGTGGAATCCATTGTGCCTACTTCAAAAATTAAGGAAATGTGTGCACAGTGGGTTGAACTGCAAACCTTTATGGATGAAAATCACCCTGACACAGCTGTTGCAAGGCGTGCTGGTGACTATTTCAATGACAATGTTATGGCCCATTTTAGACAAATCGTAAAGGAACGGGAGGTACAGAGCTCTATGGACAGAAAGAAGTCCAGTGACTCTGAAGCTGGTCCTAGTGGCATTAAAAGAAGAAGGGAAGTAACCCCGGAAAAGGACTTGCCTCCTCAAGTGTTAATGGAAGGGGATTCCCCTTCTAAACACTAACACTCTCTCTCCCCTCCTCCCATCCCATCAATCATCACCAGATCTTCAATAAAAGTAAGTGTCATGTAATTGTGCATGCCTTTTTCAGTTTGTGTGTACTAAAATTAACATTTTTTTGTGGTAAAAAAATTTTTTTTTCATACTTTTGGGTGTCTTGCACGGATTAATTTTATTTCCATTATTTCTTATGGGGAAAATTAATTCGCATAGCGAACATTTCGCATAACGACCAGCCCTCTTGCACGGATTAAGTTCGCTATGCGGGGGTCCACTGTACCGAGAAACAATTAACCCCAGAGGGTTAGCCGCCCAGGATAACCCAAGGAAGTCAGTGTGTCATCGAGGACTGTCTAACTTATTTCCATTGGGGTCCTTAATCTTGTCCCCCAGGATGCGACCCACACCAGTCGACTAACACCCAGGTGAACAGGAAAAAATGTCTGGAACTAGTGCTCATATTGGTGAATTTAAGGCCAGCAAACTTTGGTTTGAGAGATTTAAGAATTGTAGTGGGATACACAGTGTGATAAGGCCTGTTCTGGAAGAAAATGCCCAACAGGACCTACATTACTCAGGAGGAAAAGGCACTCCCAGGACACATACAGTGTCTCATCACTCATTGCCACATCTTCAATAAAGATGTCATTTATATATTCTTCATTTAGTACACTAGTACATGCACAATATATATTGTGCATGTATCCTTCTTTTTGTGTGTAGGAAAATGTATATTTCATATGGTAAAAATATTTTTTTTCATACTTTTGAGTGTCTTGAACAGATTAATTTGATTTACATTATTTCTTACAGGGAAAATTAATTCGACTTACGATAAGTTCGTCTTACCATGTGCTCTCTGGAACGAATTAATATCGTAAGTCAGGGGTCCACTGTAATAATAATAATTTATTATAATAATAATAATAATAATAATAATAATAATAATAATAATAATAAATAATCGATTTTGAGCACTTTAAATGTCGTAAGTATTTCGTATATGTTTGGTAGCTGACATTTAAAGCACTCCAGATTGATCATAATTTATTATTATTTTTTATTATTATTATTACCATTGACATACCTTGTTCACAGATTTTAATCATTTCTTAAGCTGCCACGATACACCGAGAATGTAAACACACATACGAACACACCAGCTAACAGCTTTACTGTAAACTTCTTTTATGCTTCTTCCATTTTCCTCTTGTTTTTCCTTTTCCAACTGCTGCTGCACTTCTAACTCTATCTTCTACCATGGGATGCACAATAAAGTGCAAATTTATAGAGGAAATATGTAGTCTTGGAGATTGCTTAATGCTGAGATGCATCACTAACCCATTTAAAATGAACTTCTTTTATACTTCTTCCATTTTCCTCTTCCAAGAGGAAAAACAACAGGAAATTTGTACAAGTATGTAGTCTTGGAGACTGTGAAAGCTAGTGTACCGAGTGGTTGTAGGAAGGAGATTAAGATGCTTGATGCTGAGACGCTGCACTATGCTGCCAGTTCATGACCCAAGTTCTCATACAGTATATAATAAGAACTCGTCAGAGAGCCTGTCGTAACTCTGAGTTGTTGATAAACGAGTACCTCAGTAAGTGAGAAGCTGTATTCTAAACGAGGGAGCACTAGCGATTTGAAGAGTGTTACTACTGGCATTATTTCCCTTGTTTTGAAAGTTCTCAATAACCACCCCATCATCCTCCTGACTGTCATGATCTTTGTCTTATGTTCTTTAACCCTTAAACTGTCCAAGCAGATCTACGTTTACATGCGTAGTGCTCCAAAAGTAGATCTACATTTTTTTTTACATATTTTCAAGTACTGTATAACAAAAAAACAAAAGTAGATCAAAGTTTTTTTACACGTTTTCAAATGTAAAAAAAAAAAGATCTACTTTTTTTTACATACTTTCAAATGTTGAAAAAACGTAGATCTACGTTTGGACAGTTTAAGGGTTAAAAGAGAGGTTAGCTGCAGCTAACATAATTATTCTTGAGTCTTTTACGTGTTCCTTTTGTTCTATTTGGTGACCCTCAAGTTTTATATACAGTGTTCCTTTTGAGTTCTTTATTCTTTCAATACCTAAGCAGCTGGAACTTATCACCACTGAACATCATGTTATTCTCCACTGCCCAATGGAAAAACCCAGCTTATGTCTTCCTGTAATTTTTCAGTGTCTTCTACCATAGTGACTTTCATGCTCATTTTAGTGTCATCTGCAAATGATGATACAAAACTGTGACAGGTGTTTTTATCTATGTCAGCTATGAGAATGAGAAACAGCAGAGATGCCAGGACAGTGCCTTGGGGAAATGAGCTTTTTAGCTCAATGATGCTGGATTTTGCTCTGTTTACTACTACTTTCTATGTTCTGCTTACCTTTCCCATAATGCCTATGGCCCTCATTTTGTGCTCTGTCACTCAATGATTGCATTTGTTAAACGTCTTTGCAAAATGTGTAAATCACATCTTAGTACTACTTTCTATGTTCTGTGCATTAGGAACCTAAAAATCCATCTGCCTACCTTCTCCATAATGCCTATGGCCCTCATTTTGTGTGCTATCACTCAATGATCGCATTTATTAAACGTTTTTGCAAAATGTTTAAATCACATCTGCATTTTGGTCATCTTCCAACGCCTCCGTAATTCAGTCAGTGATTCAGCAGCTGTGACAGGCACAATCGTCCTGCTCTAAAACCATGCTGGTTTGGGTTATGTTGGTTGTGCTGGTCCATGAAATCTGTAATCTGCTGTCTCATCACTCTTTTGAAGATTTTTATGATGTGAGAAGTTAGGGGTACTGGTCAGTAATTTTTAGCTTGTGCTCTACTACCTCCCTTATGCAAGGGATCTGTCTGCACTCTTTAAGGCCTCTGGTATTTCACCTAGATCTAGGATCTTTCTCCGAAGAATACTGAGGGCTCGTGCTAGTGGTACTTTGCACTTCTTTATAAATAGAGCATTCCATTAATCTGGTCCAGGTGCTGAATGAGGCAGGGTGACCCAAAAAAGAAACACTATCACCATCATTCATGCATAATCACTGTCTTTGCAGAGGTGCCCAGATATGACAGTTTAGATGTCACTCCAAACATCCAATATCCCAAACCCCTCCTTTAAAGTGAAGGCATTGTACTTTCCACCTCCAGGACTCATGTCCGGCTAACCGGTTTCCCTGAATCCCTTCACAAAATATTACTTACTCACACTCCAACAGCTCGTCAGATCCCAAAAACCATTAGTCTCCATTCATTCCTATCTAACATGCTCATACATGCCTGCTGCATGTCCAGGTCCCTTGTGCACAAAACCTTGTTTACCCCCTCCCTCCATATTTTCATAGGATGACCCCCTACCCCTCCTCCCCTCCACTACAGATTTATACACCCTCTACATCATTCTATTTTGCTCCATCCTCTCTAAATGACCAAACCACCTCAATAACTCCTCTTCAGCCCTCTTAGTAATACTTTTTGTAACTTCACACCTCTTCCCAATTTCCACACTATGAATTCTCTGCATAATATTTATACCGCATACTGCTCTTAGACATGACATCTCCGCTGCCTCCAGCCTCCACCTCGCTGCAGCATTCATAACCCATGCTTCACACCCATATAAGAGTATTGATACAACTATACTATTGTACATTCCCTTCTTTGCCTCCATGATAACATTTTTTGTCTCCACAGACACCTTTTTTCCTTCGTCAATTCTATGGTTAACCTCATCCTTCAAAAGTCCATCTGCTGACAAATCTACTCCCAAATATCTGAGCACATTCACTTCTTCCATACTCCCTCCTTCCAATGTGATATCCAATTTTTCTTTACCTAACTCGTCTGATACCCTCATAACCTTACTCTTACCTATGTTCAATAGCGAACCAGTGTCGGTTAAGAGATCAAAGAGAGAGCCTTCACTAAAGGTGGGGCCATCAGAGAGGAGGGCAAAAAGAATAATTAGGTCAGGGCACTGAAGAGTGTAAGAAAACAGTACTAAACATGGATGTATTTCTGCAATTAAACTGCTAATAATTCATAGTTTTAACATTAACCATGGAAAAGTAATGGAGTACAAAAAGAATTCTATACCAGTATTTCTTCACTGATTAAAAGAGAGTAACAGCTACATAAAGAAATATAAAAAAGTGAACCCAAGCTAACACTTCATATCTTACTCTTGCTGTTGTTCTATGTGACTTAACCCTTCCCTTAGCTGAGCACAGCAAGCTTCGCGATCTGGCCGTCCTGGGTCTGGGAACCCTGCAGTGAAAAAAAAAAAATGAACAATATTACCTTGGGATGAAAAAAATCATTCCACAATGTACGGGGAAACATTCATGAAAGCACAATCTACCTGGCAGTTTGTTCTTCATCAGTCTCATGGGAGTTGATTATACCTTGCAAGGATTAGTGTCAGTATCAAATTAATATTAATGCTAAATACAAGTCATGCAGACCACTCTGGCAGAAAATCTAAAAATTAATTCTCCCTAGTTAAGAATTTAACTGAAAAATAAATTTAGTACATGTATAATCAAGACTGAACATCTAAAACAAACGATTATAAAAAAACAAACATGTACAGAGCTTGAAATAATCAGTGATTAAAGATAACTATATTAATAAACCTTTGCTTTACAAGGGTTCACTATGCAAGTGAACCCCAAAATTCACAAAGGTTAGGTTGCTAGAGGCTTTGTGAATCCTGAAGCCATGGATAATAAGTTTTGCATGTTTCGATTGCAGTTTTGAATATTTTTATATTTCACATGCACATTAGCAAAGCAATATATACAGTGGACCCCCGGTATTCGATGACATCGGTATTCGATAAATCCAGTTTTCGATGCATTTTAACGCAAAAAAATTTCCTCGGTATTTGATTGAAAACCCAGTATTCGATACGATTTGTACGAGACCTGTCCACGTGTGGCCTAAACTGCTCCATGTGTGCTAGTGTTTACAAGCCAGCCAGTGTGTGCGCATCTAAGGATACATTCGGTACATTCCATATTATCCATATTATCACTGTGTTTGGTGCTTGTTTCTGCAAAATAAGTCACCATGGGCCCCAAGAAAGCTTCTAGTGCTAACCCTTCAAGAAAAAAGTCACTAATGGCTTATGAAATGAAGAAAGAGATAATTGCAAAGTACGAAAGTGGAGTGTGTGTGTCGGAGCGGGGTCAGGTTGTAAAATAAACCCCAATCACCAATCTCTACTATAGTGACCGGGGGAAAACGGCAATCAAGGAAGCTGTTCTTGCAAAAAGGTGCAACTGTGATTATGAAACAGTGACTGCAAGTGTTAGAAAATGTTGAGAGATTGTTACTGGTGTGGATAAATGAAAACAATTTAGCAGGAGATAGCATCTCTAAAGCGATCATTTGTGAAAAGGCTAGGCGGGTTGCATGACGTTTTGGAAAAAGAAATTTGCCTGCAACTAGTAATGATATGAGTGAATTTAAGGCCAGAAAAAGGTTGGTTTGAAAGTTTTTAAGAATCGTAGTGGCATACATAGTGTGATTAGGCATGGTGAGGCTGCCAGTTATGTTGTGGACAGAAGTCCCAGTGACTCTCAAGCTGGTCTAGTGGCATTAAAAGAAGAAGGGAAGTAACCCGGAAAAGGACTTGCTACCTCAAGTCCTAATGGAAGGGGATTCCCCTTCTAAACACTAACACCTCTCCCCTCCTCCCATCCCATCAATCATCACCAGATCTTCATTAAAGGTAAGTGTCAATTATTTTATTGTTATTGTAATTATTCTATTGCATTAAACTTAATATTTCATGTAGTAAATTTTTTTTTTCATACTTTTGGGTGTCTTGCATGGATTAATTTGATTTCCATTATTTCTTATGAAGAAAATTGATTCGGTTTTCTATATTATCGGTATTCGATGAGCTCTCAGGAACGGATTAATATTGAATACCAGGGGTCCACTGTATATATACAGTGGAGCCTCTACTTATGAGTGCATCCACATGCAAGTTTTTCCAGATATGAACAATCGCTCGGTCGATTTTTTGCTTTCAGACGTGAGTGAAATTTCCAGATGCGAGCGGGCCTCAAGGGAGGTTCCTTGACGCTGGTAAGGGGCTCTTGCTCTGATCTAGGGAATTGGATCTCAGTTGTTTGTTGGACTATCTAATTGAAATTTGGGCAATGTATGGTGGAAAGATGCTTCTTGGCGTACTCCAAAAATGAAAGAAATCGGACAGTAAATAACGGAGTTCACTTCTCAGCCATTAGCCTCCCCTTAGCGGTATATTTTTGTATGGTTGTATTCTCATTTGTTTTTGGTCTTATTTGATAGAATGGAAGATATACTACAGAAATAGATGTGATTTTGATTGGGTTCACAACAAAAAGTACCTTGAAATTGAGCTCAAAGTAGCAGAAATGTTTGATTCTTTGGCAATGTTCAAGAGTAAACAAATGATGTCACCATCCAATACCTGCCCGATTGGCACTGCCCCTCAACCTTCACATATTGGAAAGCTCTTCAACATGCTAGCAAAAGTGGGAGCAGACATCATGAGGTAGCAGTGGCAGACAACATGAGGTAGCAGTGGCAGACAACATGAAGCAGCATTGGCAAACAACATGAAGCAGCAGTGGCAGACATCATGAAGCAGCAGTGGCAAAGTATAACATTAAGAGTGTAGCAATTAAGTGTAACATTAACCCCTAAACGGTCCAAACATATATACGTCCTAACACGTAGCGCCCCAAACGTATACGTATATACGTTTTAATTTTCCTGCCTCCAAATTTGGCACAATTGCCCTGAGATGGCTGTTCAGCATAGAATGGATCTAACACTCGGTGTGCACCATATTAAAAAAATCTGGGACCACTTAGTACAGGTCAGCTATAGATTTCATTAAGTCTAAGGGAGGGATCCCAATCATATGTAGCATCTTGCCTAGAAGGGGAGTAGGAAATGAATGGTTGTCTAGGGCAATTGGTGTAAATTGCTGGCTAGACAGATACTGCAAGGAACTTGCAATCCCATTCATTGACAACTGGAACAACTTTTATGGCAAACATGATATGTATGCAAGGGATGGGGTTCATCTCTCTGGGGCAGGGGTGGTAGCACTTGCAGACTCGATTGAGAAGGCCATTGGTGAAATGCCTATGATTTTAAACTGATGGAAGATAGAGGTATGGGTGTGTGTGGGAAACAAGCAGGTTGCAACACAAGGGTTGGAAAACAGTAAATGTATAAAAGGCATTCAGCATAAAAGTTATAAATAAAGACAATAGAACAGGCAGCAAAAAAAGGGGGGACAGCAGAGGGCAGCAAGGGACTAGCTCCCTTAAGGTTTACTATACTAATAGCAGGAGTTTTAGAAATAAGATAGATGAGCCCAAATTAAATTTGCAAGTGCAGGAAACATAGATATTATTGCTATAACAGAGACCTGGCTCAATCTGAAAGATAGAGAGATGCCCTCTGAATGTCCACATACAAGGCTATAAATTAATTCACACTGAAGGTCAACAGGAAAGGTGGGGAGTAGCGATGTATGTCAGAGACAAATTTAAATTGTTGTGTTAGACAAGATATTAAATTAAAGCGTCAGCCACTGAATCTGTTTGGTTTTCAGCTTCTCGAGGGCCGAGAAAAACTAATTTGGGTGTGATTACAGGGCCCCAAACTTGATAGGGAGGCAGTAAACTTCTATGGGACCCAAATCGTAAGGCATCTACATACGAAAATGTTGTGCTAATGGGGGGATTTCAACTATAACAGATTGACTGGAGCAATTTGACAGGAAATTTAGAGTCGGGTGACTTTTTTGATACGATCCAGGATTGTTTTTTAAAACAGTTTGTGACAGAGCCAACTAGGTGGGAAAAAACCTCCTTTGACCCTTTGGTCTTGCCAGTAGGGAAACACAAAATTTAAAAATCTTGAGGTTAATGATGAGCTTGGGAAGTGATCACAAATCACTCAGTTTTAACATATCATGGAATTTTCCCCCCAATAATGGCAATCAAGTCTCCGTCCCTGACTTTCGCTTGGGTGATTTCATAGGACTGAAAAATTACTTAGGTGGGCTGAACTGGAATGACCCACTAGGGTCAGGTTAAGTGGTGATGGTTTTCCGATATGATGCTTTCCAGGGCATAGTTTCTAGCTGCTCAGTCAAATTATGTTCCAAATAGGGAAATCAGATCAAACAAAAATGATCCAAATGGAGAACAATAGATTAAAATATCTGATTGGTCAAAAGAGAGGCATATATAGGCCAAATCAAAGAGGAGAGGGGGAATTAAAAATCGATATATTCAGTAAAGAGAGAAATAAAAAAGGGAATAGAAAAGCAAATAGAGATTATGAGGTTAAAGTTTGCAAGAGAATCGAAGACTAACCCAAAAGGATTCTTTCAGGTATACAGAAGTAAGATCAGGACAAGAAGGCCCACCAAATTCCCTCGGTCACTCAGACATGAAAGGAAATGGTAAATTTTTTAACAATACTTCCTCTTTTTACACAGGAGGGTACCAGCATATCAGTAATGAAAAATTATTTTGAACAGGCATAATAAACGTGCACTATTTGGGCACAAGGACAGGGCCTTAGGCAAATAATAAATTAAAACCTAACAAATCCCCAGGCCCGATGAACTGTATGCAAGGGTTCAAAGGAATGTAAAGAGGAATTAGCACACCTTTTTCAATCTTTTCAACATACCACAAAATGCATGGTGCCAATAATGGAAAAAAGGAAATTATACCCCTTTTCAAAAAAAGGGGACAGGTCCCCAGCTTTGAACTATAGACCAATAAGCCTAACCTCCATAGTGGGGAAAAATTTATGGAATAATAAATTTCCGAGGCAGTTCGTACCACCTTGAAAACATAAATTAATCAACAATCTCACAGGTTTTTTCAAAGGGGGGTTCCTGCCTTACAATTTTTTAACTTTTTTCACTAAGGGATTTGAGGGGGTAGATCAGTAATGAATAGATATTTTGAAATGGACTTATAAGGCTTGACAGGGTCCCCCCATCAGAGACTATTGAGGAAAATTAAAGCACATGGAATAGGAGGAGAAATTTTTTCCTGGATAGAGGCATGGTTGACAAATAGGCAGCAGAGAGTTTGCATAAATGGGGAGAAATCAGAGTGGGGAAGCGTCACGAGCGGTGTTCCACAGGGGTCAGTGTTGGGCCCCCTGCTGTTCACAATCTACATAAACGACATAGATGAGGGCATAAAGAGCGACATCGGCAAGTTTGCCGATGA